GGCCCTGGCTTGACCCGCTGGAGTCGAGAGGCACAGAAGGGGGTAAAAATTGTACCTGGATGTGGTCCTTTGTCTTAAGTGTACACATAGACTTAGAGCTCTTTAAAGATTAAGCTGTCACTTGGTACCATTATTTATCTTTATTTTCTTTGTAACCATTTTAAGATCTATATTTGCTAGCAGCTAAAAAATAGAGCAATAGCCATTGTAACCATATGATTTATAAGCTTCTTTAATAAACCTGCAACTGTTTAAGTTTTAACCTGACTCCTTCAGTTGCTGTAACAGAACCAAGCACAATTTAAAAGAACTTCAGGTATAGGGACAGGTATAGGGAGAGCTCTGAGCGCTGGATCGTGTCGCTTCCAGGGGACAGATCCGTTGGGGCATCTCTCAGCCTCCCCAGGCTGCCCGCTGCGAAGGGATCATGTATCCTGGCAGTACAAATCTGAGGTGTAATAAGCTCTCCCTGTAAACTTGTTGGGGCGCCCGTCAACCTCCTTCAGGTTGCCCGCTGCGAAGGGACCCTGGTCTCAGCAGTTGAAGTCTCGGGTGTATAACACACATACACACCACTCACTGCCCTGACCGTCGGCTGACAACATCGTATAATTCTTTTCTATGGGAAAACATCAAATATCTGACTCTCTTTCCTTTGTACAGAAATATTTTGACTGATTACCTCAGATGATCTCCGGGAATCTGGGAGACAGCCACTTGCTTCTAAAATCATCAGATCCTGCCTCAATGGAACCTTGAAGGCTCATTCATTTGGGCTGAAAAGGACCTTGTGAGGTAGAGAAACTCCAGAAGGGAGCCCTTGTATTACACATATAAAATTTGTTACTTTCCTTTTAATAAAAGCAAGCTGGTGTAAGATCATCATACCAAAGGGTGTGTGTGTGTGTGTGTTGATGGGAAGCAAGAGGGCTATTTCTAGCATTCTTCTTTTAGAATCCAATTAGTTTATCTTTTAAAAATCAAATACATAATAACACATGTTAATACCACACATGGGTATCTGTAAACTACAATTCACACATCTCTGCAGGCTTAGAGGTGCTCATATGAATAGATCCTTATTTCGTACAGTTGTTACAAACCCTAACAGATTGTGGTGTCAGAGGAGCTTGGTTCAGTCCCAGCTGAGCTGTACAGTGTGTAGCCCTCACCTGGGTTCTCTATTGCAACTAGACTATCCCTCTGCTCTGAAACCCCACTGTCCACGTCACTGCTCAATTCCCCAACCTGACACTTTAAGTGCAGAGCTGGGGAGTGGCTATCAGAATAAACTCTGTAAAACCTGTCTCTGACACTCCCAGAGACAAACTTGTTTCATCTCAGTCCTCCAGAGATCCAAAAAAACCCTCAAAGACTGATTTCTTGCTGCCACCACCCAAGTGAATAAAAGAAAATATAAAATAACCCCTTTTCCAGGGAAGACATCACTTGGAAATCCCCTGCCTAAGGGAAAGCTCTTCTTCCTGACCAAACCTGCTTTGTTTGGAGTTGGGAAAACAAACAGGGGAACCCACAGACTGGGTAACTAAACATGTAAACTCAAGGACACAACAATCAACCAAAACCGGTTAATCAAAACAAAAAGGAAAACTCTTTTATTATCAAAACAAAACTACTGTTGTAAGCATAGTAAATGACTAGGTGTTAACTAGCCGTGAATTGACATTGACCCACAGAAAATCCCTGGGCTATAATACTTAGTTATAACCAAAAAAAATAAAAAAAAAATAAAACCTCTCAGTTTGAAATTCCTATCTGCAATACATTGGCTGAATGCTCCCTGCCTAGGTGCATTTCCAGTTGCTTAAGCCTTTCCTCACTCTTCAGGTAGTCAGTCTTTACTCAGCAGCTCCTATTTATGACAGTCCACAATGGGGACAGAGGAAATCAAGCTAAGTTGCTTTGAGCCTATATACTGCTCTCTTTTACACTGAGCGCTGGCCTACACTAAAGAAAATTAATTACATAGCTGGAGTAGACATAATTTGTTTTGAGTTTTCCCATCATCCCCATAATTGGAGACCAATGGGAGCAAATGATCCTATCAGCTTCCCTTACTCTTTGCAAAAGCAGGAGTACTGGCTGGCGATGGGGCCCCCTCTAAGTTTGATTTAGCAAGTCTTAACTAGACTCACTAAATTGAACTCTGAAAGATCGATCATGGCAACCTCGATCTTCCATTTAGTGAAGACATGGCCTTGGCTTCCTAAAGCAGGAGTAACTGCACTGAAGTCATGGCAACCTCGATCTTCCATTTAGTGAAGACATGGCCTTGGCTTCCTAAAGCAGGAGTAACTGCACTGAAGTCATCATAACTTCATCTCTTGGCCCCTGCCCCTTCCATAACAGGGGAACGCAGTGCCTAGAGGGAACCGCCAGCCATTTTGAAGAGCTGGTGATTTTCTCTGGTACTATGTGCCCCTGGCAGGGGAAGGAGACTTTGCACACACCCCGGCCCCCAGAATGGGATGGGGGAGCATGCAAAGTCTCTTGCTCACCTCCCCCGCCCCATCCTGCCAGGAGCAGAAGATGCCTGGAGGGATCCGCCTCCTTTTTAGAACAGCTGGTGGTTCTCTCCAGCTGCCAAAAACCCCTGGGGGTGGGGGAGGACACTTTGTGTGCTCCCCCGCTCCCAGGTCCTGATTGGCAGGCTGAATCTACACCACAGGCCGTAACTTGCCCATCCATGGTGCAAAAGTACCTCTGTGGGTCATAACTGTCAATATCAAATTGAGGACATACTTCTGGGGAATAGGGCAGTTACCTCCCAAAACTGGTGGCTTATTCCCCCATAATATATATCAAACGAGCAACAAAAGTAAACTTGTTTCTCCTTACTGGCTAACCGAAAGCCAGAGAAGCAGTTTCCTTCCGTGTTCAAGTCCTTGTATCACCACACAAAACATTGAACTTAAAGATGGTTTCTTGAAACCAATTCTGCTGGATCAGATGTATTCACTGGTAATCAGGCCTAGCATCTTTGTACCTAGCAATACACAGCTCCCATTGGGTGGGTGTGGGATAGACAATCACACGAATCCATCGCATGTGTCAATCCTTTATTTACGCTGTGATTTGTTGGGGGGGTTGCATTAATTGGCAGTTAACTTAGTTAAAAGCCAAACTGCTTTGGATATTTTACCAAAGACTGTGGCGCATGTGGGGGCATTCCAGATTCAGGCAGTGATACACCCCTCAATTTATTGCTCACTGGATAAGAAAAAAGAGGGAACATACCAGGAGCCCAGCTGGCAACAGACCGCCAGCAGTGCAGGTGCAGCACTGCCCAAATGTCAGGGAGACCTCATCCTAGAACAGTGATTTTCAAATGATGGATCATGACCTTGGTACATGTGGCCCAGGTCTCAGGAAGTCAGGGTTTGAGGGTAGGAGTGGGGGGGAATGGAATGGAGGAGGGCAGGACATGGGCAGAGCCTGCAGCAGGATTTTGCCCTGGGCTCTTCCCCTTGGGTGCTGATGGGAGGCTTACCCTTGGCCCCATATTTCTCTAGGGATGATCCTGCACAAGCAGCCTGAGTAATTCTCCTCTTAAGAAACAGCAGCCAACTGGGTGGTTCTAATATATGCTGGGGCCACCCAGAATCTGAGAAGCATAAAGTAGCTAAAAGCTTCTTTTCCTACCTCTTGCTGGGCAGGGCTGTGTGTGCTGCACCACCCAGAGCATTAAACAACAGCTTGGCTGCAAGAAGGCGGGGAGGAAATCCTTCAGTTCACACTGCAAGGTCTCCCTTCTGAAATGCTGAGCTTACAAGGTCTCCCTTCTGAAATGCATCTGATCCAGCAGATTTCTGGAGACTACAGCAGCAGGGGAGGAGGAAGTCCATGCAAAGGCTCCCAGCTGTTAAAGAGATCTCACCCAATTTTTATGCACCACATAACTATTATTATATGTGTTTGATTTTTTAAACAAATTTAACCTTCCTTCCTTCCTTCCTGCCTACCTCCCTGCCTAAATCTTTAGATTTTGGCTACTAACAGATTGGCAACACAGCGATTATTGGGTAAGATCTGAGTGACCCTTTGACCTGAATGTGTGGCTGGCCCTTTCGACTCAGAAAAAACCACTCATTTTTAAATTCAATGTTTTGTGTGGTGATACAAGCACTTGAACACGGAAGGAAACTGCTTCTCTGGCTTCCTGTTAGCCAGCGAGGAGAAACAAGTTTACTTTAGTTGCAGGTTTGATATATTTTATGGGAGAATAAACTGCCAGTTTGGGAATGTACCTGCCCTATTCCCCAGAAGTTTGTCCTGAATTTCGTATTGACAGTTAGGACCTACAGAGATACTGTTACACCAGGATGGGCAAGATATGGCCTGTGGTGTAGATTCAGCCTGCTAATCAGGACCTGGGAGCAGGTGAGGACACATTGTGTGCTCCTCCACCCCCAGAGGTTTTTGACACCTAGAGGGAACCACAAACTGAACCTAGGCAGAGAGCATTCACCCAATGTATTGCAGAAAGGAATTTCAAACCAAGAGAGGGTTTTTTTTCCTTTCTCTTTTCTTTGTTTGAGATCAGAGCAGTTTTTTCAGATATGAAGGAGACAGGCTTTCCCAGGAATGAACTTCTTGAAATGTGTAAGTAGGGAAAATGTAGATAGTCCATCAGATTTTATGGTTTAAGTTGTTTGGAGGGCGGGGGCGGGTAGTTGGAAATCATGTCTGAATTGGTTAATTGTTTTTCTTTGTTGTAACTAAGGATTACAGCCCAGAGATTTTCCCTGAGTCAATGTCACTTCATAGCTATTTAACACCTAATCATTTACTATGGTTGCAACAGTAGTTTTGTTTTGATAATAAAAGTGTTTTCCTTTTTGTTTTGATTTACCAGGTTTGGTTGATTGTTGTGTCCTTAAATTTACATGCCTAGTTCCCCAGGCGGAGTCCACTGTTGTCTGTGGGTTCCCCTGTTTGTTTTCCCAACTCCAAACAAAGCAGGTTTGGTCAGGAAGAAGAGCTTTCCCTTAGGCAGGGGATTTCCAAGTGATGTCTTCCCTGGAAAAGGGATTATTTTATATTTTCTTTTATTCACTTGGGTGGTGGCAGCAAGAAATCAGTCTTTGAGGGTTTTTTTGGATCTCGGGGGGACTGAGATGAAACAAGTTTGTCTCTGGGAGTGTCAGAGACAGGTTTTACAGAGTTTATTCTGCTAGACACCCCCTAGCTCTGCACTCAGAGTGTCAGGTTGGGGAATTGAGCAGTGACGTGGACAGTAGGGTTTCAGAGCAGAGGGATCGTCTAGTTGACATACCTTCAGGGAGCGGCCTTCGTGTGTGTGTGTGTGTGTGTGTGTGTGTGTGTGTGTAGACATGCCTTCAGGGAGCAGCCTTCTTTGTCTGTCTGTGTGTGTTTGTGTGTTTGGGTTCCTGTTTGTTATTGGTCTAAAGTCTAAGAAATGAAGGAGACTTTCTTTGCAGTCTTCCAGGAAGAGTATTTTATGGTTTTGATCTAGCTTCTCCGTTTGTGTGCCCTGAATATAATCCCATGAAGCAGTGACATGACGGTCATAGATGGGACAGTCAAACTATGCCAGAACTAACTCTTCTTGAAAACAAGAAATTGAAAAGATTTCTAGCATGTACATGAAATCAATTCAGGTCAATCCCTGTGAGGACATAGAAAGCACAAACAGCTGCCATGTGTTCCTTCAAAATTCTATACAGATCAGTGTGTTTTCATTCATCTGTACTATCTTTTACTTTCAAACAACGGATTTCTCAGAAGGATAGAAATGGCTCCCACGCACATACACTCACATTCCACATTGGCACACATGCGCTTATCAGCATTTCACAACAGCTAGATTTTATGAAAAGGGGCAAGCCAATCTCTTTCTGGAGGATAAAAGGCTCCTAGCAGGATATCTCCAGATCAGGAGATTCTTTGCATCCCCAGGGAACCGTATGCCTCATTTAGTTTTATCAGAATTTTTCTGACCAGCTCTAATAAGAATCTTTATCCCAATAGAATGGATTCCTTACCGCCAAGGCTGTACTGCTTTCCTAGACCAATCACTAGATCACAATGCTTATGTGTAGACAAGCTCCAATGCTATGGCTCTTGAGACTCTTAATGATCTCAGGTAGCCTGTCTCAGGTGTGTAGTTTGATCAGTATCCAAACCAGATATGAAAGGAAGAAGGTGCGCCCTGGTGGGCAGCTCTGGCAAGAACCGTCAAAAGCCAGCAGGGAGATTTTGAAAGAACTGTCAGGAGCCTGGATTGCAATAGGACAGCACCTGTAAGAAATGTTAAGTTACTTTCACTGCTGATCTAGACTGCGATTTATTTGCAGGATTTATAGCAGCTTGTCTTAACATAAAAGTTGTACCACTCTATGGGCATGGGTACACTAGGAAATTATTTTGAAATAACGAAATTCGACTTAATAATGCCTGATTGTACAAAATCAAAATAGTGTGTTCCCACCATGGGGAAGCCTCAAACCTAGTCTGAGGCAGGTTCCATTAATGTGGATGCACTACCTTGACTTACAGCCCCAGGAAGCAGCAGGGAGCAATTAATTCAAATTACTCTGGAGAGTAGTTGTTTTGAAATAGCAGCACCAGAGCATCCACACTAATGCTATTTCAAAATAACTATTTTGAACTTAGCATTATTCCCCAAGGAAAGCAGGCATACAGATTTCAAAATAAGCGGCCTGTTATTTTGAAATAATGGGGTTGGTAATGTGCATGCTCTGCTTATAAATTCAACTTGGGGGGTAATTTTGAAATAAGATCGTAGTGTAGAAAGGGCTACCTGAACCACTGTCAATATATGGATACAACCCATTTCACGACATCCCTATACGGCCGGTAAGCGAAGTGCTGGTCTAGATAAGTCTGTGTTCTGCATCCGAGAATGCATTTGAACCCCCTAATTACCAAGTTAAAGTGTTGCACGGAGCAGATAAACAGCAGATCCGAAATCAACATGCACTGCTGACTTCTGATGTTCCCAGACCCCTTTCTGCATCCTGCCCTGCAACCATCCAAAGAAAACTGATTCCTTTGATTGGAAAAACATCTAAATGCTGCACACCCATTGCACAGACCTATTTGCACTGTGATCTGGCAGCAAAAAATAAAATAAAATAAAATAAAATAAAATAAAATAAAAGTAGTTTTGGGGCTCCCTGCAGAGGGGCATAACATTCTGGACCAGGAGGTAATCGTGTCTCTACACATCCCTGGTGTCCTCCCACAAGGAATAGTGTGGTCCGTTCTGGACCACACCTTGTTTGACAGATATTGGGAATCTGGCGGGAGGTGAGAGATGAATGAGAAAGGATCGGGATGCAGGGAGAGCCACTGAAACAGGTTTAAAATAAGAAACTGTACAAGTGTCACTGAGCAAGTCAAACTCCTGTTTATTGCTGCATCTCCTTTGGAGTGCTTGCCCGTAGCATAGGGGTAAGTAATAATTTTTTGCCAGGGGCCACTTCAGAAATTTTTGAAATGGCCCGAGGCCACTCAGGAAGGGGCGGGGCTTCGAGCAGAAGGGTCAGGGCCAAGATATTTCTGGGTTTCCCACCCCCAGACTATGATTGGTCTGGGAGTGAGGGAGTACCTTTCCCCCAACCCAAGTTCCCCCAAGGTGCCTATGCCTCTGGCATGGGAGGAGACTTCCCTCACTCCCCTGCCCCTAGGCCAATTAGTTAGGGCCTGGGGGACGGGGAGCGTGCGAAGCCTCCTCCATTCTCCTCCCCCCCACCTTGAAGTCTCCCAGGCCTGTATGCCACTGCCCTGCTTACTTCAATGCTGCCTGTCAAAGTTATAGCTGAGCAGTTTAGGAAAGGTTCCTCACGTACAGGAAGGAAGCAGGCTGCCATCCCTAGAGAGCCAATCAAACACATCAAATCTGGGAAAATGTTAAAAAACAACAAATAATCTAGCAGTACCTTAAATACTAACAAAACATGCTGATGGTATCATGAGCTTTCGTGGGTACACCCCTCTTCTTCAGAGGAATGGATTATTAAAAGTCCAGATGCAAAAATAAATAGGGATGGGGGGGAGGAAAGGAAAGGAAAGAAAAAAAATAGTGAATTAGAGTGTTCAAGTTACAAGAAGCGGATAGAGAAGGTGCAAATTGTGCTTAAATACCCATTGGTCGGTTGGTTAAGTCATTAGGAAGGTAGTGTGCTAGCCAGGTAATGTCTTTTTTCATACCTTTTTGATGGCTCCCAAACTTGTAAATGAAGTTAAGGTCCTAACCTTCCCTGTGTATTTGGCTTGTGGCATTAGCCTGAAACAACACAGTGACTTTGGGATGCATTGCTGAGTGGATTTTCCATTTTCCAGTTACAGAAACTCGGCTACCCCTCTGAAGCAACATAAAATAAGAACATTCAAAACAGTTATGGGGGGGAGATGGGATCACTCCTCCTGGGACTTTCACACACCCCCATAAATCCTTGTTCAAGTAAAAAAAGCAAATCAGCTCTGAACTAAATGATCAACCAATGAATACGCACACACACAAATAAAGCACTGGCAAGTGGGAAGGGAGACCATGTGTGAGGGACTGTGTGGGTGAGTGAGAGAGAGTTTGCAGGCTAGGGCTTTAGTAGGGTTCAAAAAAGAGCCAGATAAATTCATGAAGGTCAGGTCCATCAAGATGGCGAGGGATGGTGTCTCTAGCCTCTGCTTGTCAGAAGTTGGGTAGAGGTGGTAGGGGATAGATCACTTGATGTGTCCCTGCTCTTCTTCATTTCTTCTGGGGCACCTGGCATTGGCCACTGTCAAAAGACAGGATACTGGGCTAGATGGACCTTTGGTCTGACTTAGCATGGCTGTTCGTGTGTGTGTGTGTGTGTGCGCACGCGCGCCTGAGTTGCTAAATTGTGCTTCTGTAGCATCGCTGCTATGGATACCTGAGCTACTTACATCCAAGCTACTTTGGGTGTCTTGGCGTGTGCTGTAGTCCCACCTCCGACTGCAGGACAGACATGCCCCAAGAGTGGGAGACTTGTGAAATTCCCTCTCAGGATGGATCAGTGCCCAGACTCCTGAGTGACACATTCAGAAACCAATGAGAGCAGAGATGTGGAAGCAGGTCTGTAATCTTCACGTCCACCATAGAGCCCCTTTAAAGTTCCTTACATTTTCCTAGGAAGAGAGTAAGACTACCCACTTTTCCTACCTGACTGCCTGAATCACATGAATGAGACGAACCCCAAGAGGCACTTAGCACCAGCAGGCAACGCTGGCTTTGCCAGGCCTGGCACATCAACATGAGGATTAGGTTCATCAAGACACAATCCGTGTCTGGATTTATGACTGTTATTGTTGAGACTGTAGGTTTGACATGGAGTTGAGTCAAGTTGGCCAGGCATCACTCTGCAGGACATATATAGCCTGCAGAAGTAAATTGCTGATCAGAGCTAAACCAGCAGGTTTTTGTTAGATGTCCCAAGATGTTTTGCACAAATCATGGTGGTCCAACGTGTCTTACACAATCTGGGGTGGCACAAGATCTTTTGCACAAAGACCATGGAATTTTCCACAGCCAGAGTTGCAAAAATCCCAACCTCCAATATGTGGTGACAGTTCACATCTTTTCCAAAAGCAGGGCTCACCTTCTGATTGGCCCACTGCAGCTTTGCCAAGACAAAACCAAGCCTTCAACCACTATATAAAACGGGTTTTTGGGGCCAGGGTGTCACTCCCTGGTGCTAAACTACTTGGACAAGAGAGACTGTGAGCAGATCTGTCATCACCTGGCTACTGGGAGCACTTTGTGTCTGGTAACTATTACACTCACTTCTCTAATAATAACCCTGCTAACTCATCCTTTAAAGACCTGTCTAGGGACACACCTGGGAGATCAAGAAAGAGAATGAACTTTTTAGGTCTCTCAAGAAACCAAGTTTAGTGAGGCTGAAATGGAGAATTCACCTTCCTGCCAGTTTGAATGGAGAAGTAGCAAAGCTACTTCTGTCATGTTTAACACCCCTCCCTGAAAAGTTGGTTATTTTAAAGCTGCCTAACTCCACCTGCAGATTAATTCCAGTCGTCCAACTTCTTTTTATCAGGAAATCCTAGCTATCCAAAGGTGTACTCCCTGTAGTCCTGAATTAGTTTACCCACCATTGATGAGCTAAACTCAACGCTAAGGGAACTACAGTTGGGAGGATTTCCAGTGTTAAGAGTGATGACAGCTAGAAATGGGGTAGAAAAGTGACGGCAAAGAAAAGAAAAGAAAAGAAAAGAAAAGAAAAGAAAAGAAAATGAGTTAAGGTGAAGACTGAAAGGAGACGGGTTAAGGGAGAGACAGGACTGGGGAAGGCTGATCAGGAGTTCAGGGAAAGACAGCAGAGCAGGAGGGAAGAGAATGTAGAAGGCAGATAGGACAAGGAGAAAAGGGAAAGGAAAGAAGAAGAAAGGCAAGAAGTGGGGCTGTATCCGTATGCAACACGTGCCTCCTTGGCACTGTTACAACACAGCCAAGAGCTGTAGACTTTGAAAACACCAAACAAACAGTCAGGGATAGAGTCAGCTCCCTCCTCCTGAGCTATTTCGTAACGCTGGTGCTTTAATCACCTTCCTTCTCCTTTTTGTGAATTCTTACTTGCTTTAAGGGCTGTGTTAGAGCATATATACATAGGATATACATGTGCCACAACTCTGCTCTCAGCACTTGGGCAAAAAGAGGGAGATGCTTTGAAATGGCTAGGGGAAATGTTTTTTCCACTATTTGAATATTTAGTTACCTTTGAATGTTTCATGAGAGTGACCAAAACTGGAGGACAGAGCAGAAATTCTGGGGAAATTGGAATAGGTTGTTAACGAGAGGTTGTCAGCCCAGGGAAGAGACCTGACACACTTTCCCCAGGGCAATGTTGAGCCTTCTTGTAATTCAGTAATAATACAGTGTCGCAGGGTCACTCACTCAAATCCTTCCCCCTCACAACAGGGGGCGACCTAAGCCAACTTTCAGTGGCATTGTGCATAGCCAGGTGAACTCTGAGTGAACCGGATTGAGCTCCTAAGTGCCTATTCATAAGTCAAATTCAGCCATCCTTTGCAACCCCATGAGTGGTGAGATTTTGACCTGGTGCTCAGGTTCACAATACCCACGAGCAGTCTTTGGTGCTATCCCTGAGACTTGTGTGGCTACCGAAGTAATATTGTGCTTTAAAAGGCCCCCTGATCCCACAAGAACATCATCACGGCTAGGCGGCAGTATCCTCATTATTGTAAAAGGGCAGGTGCAGGTAAAATCATTGCTAATGTTGAGCAAGATTAAAAAGAGGCTGAAACTGCTGATTTAAATCAGCATCTGCATGATGTGTCTAGCGTCTTTGGTTGCCATAGCGCAGGCACTCCCATAATTCCACTGGGGAACAGACTGATCAGAAGGGAACAAAAATCTGCATTTAAATGTTCCCAGTTCTATGTTGGTAGCAAAGTCAACTTCCTAATGTAGTACAGAACTGGGATAAAGTTTTCCGCAGTAAAAAGGCTGTGATAAGACTTTAAATAAACTGATGTAATTTACCATTTCTTGGTAAATTGTGACATCACATAATTTGTTCATTCTTAGATATTGCATAAACATGAACATCCAGTCACCTGTATTTTGCTTTCTGTAATTTCTTGTTTTCTATTGTATTTTGGATAATAAAATACTAAATATCCAGTACTTCTCTAGTGTATACTTTGGCTAAGCACAGCAAGATTCCAGGGAGAAACACAACATAAGTAATCGGTTAATTAAAATTATTTCCGGAATATCATTCTTTCAAAACAGGTCTTGTTTCACACAATTGTATTTCTTTGAAGCCCTGCTAGGATGTCTGTTGTGCTGTATGGCTAACAAACACTATTCTTGAGAGATTGCAGAACACATATTAAAATGTAAATTGGTTTACAGATATATTATCACAGCTCAGCATGTCGCAGTCTCCACTGTCCTAGAGTCTTCTATCTCCTTTTTATCTTGGTGTCTCTTCTCTCTAGTGGCACTGTATTCCCAGCCAATCTTAAACCATGAAGATCCTCCATCTGCTCTTTGCTGTTGTCTTCTTGGTGCTCCTGGATGCCCCAGGTAAGATATACATGAAAACAAGCAATGACACAAGCAGACAGGTGGGAGCCTGGATTGGGATTGTCTAAAATTTTCCATTAGAAAAATTATTCTAACTTTTTCTTATGCGCTCTAGCGGCTGCCTCCAAGAAAAAAACATTGAGATTTGTCTGAATTATAATCAATCCCAACAAAATCCATGTCCCCTCAGCATTTTCCTCAAATCTTGGTAAGGCGTGCTGCTTAAACCTCACCCCATTATCTCAACACAGCATATATTCTTCTGATAACGAGCCATCACAGAACTGAACATCTGGATTCCATGCTGAACAACCCTGTTCAATAAGCCCAAAGGTTTGAGAGATGATGCATAGGATCAGGAGTCAGGAGACTGAGACTTAAAGTATAACTTCTACTACTGACAAGTGTGTAATTCTGTGCCTTTCCCAAGCTGACTTCTCATAAATCAGGACTCATATCCCTGTGCAGTAGGTGGGCCGCATGTGTGGCCTGCCTTCACTTCAATGGGCAGCAGCAGGCCATGGCACAATGGGGTTCCACCTGTGGTCTCATGCCCCTTGTGCTCTTCTATCCCCTCATGTGCCCCTCACACACTGAGACACCAAGATCCTGCTCTTACATGCTCCTCCCCCTCAATCCCATCACTTTCAGAGCACTCCAATCACCTGATTCATGCTCCATCCCTGTTCCTCCTCTCCCTGCCAGATCTGGAATTCCACAAACAGCTGATGTGTGGATGTTCTGGGACAGAGTGGGAGGGGCGAAGATGGAGTGTGAATTAGGTAATTCACGGCTACTCTGAAAGTGCTGGGAGGGAGAGAGAGGAGCAGGTAAGCGCAGTGCTCCATTGCCCCAGCGTGCAAGATGCATGGTGGGATTGGGATAACTAGTGGATCTGTGGCCTGCAGGTTGCCCACCGCTGCCTTAACGGCAAGAAGCAGCAAAGGACACCCATTCTGATTGAGACCGTTCTAAGATGTGCAGCTGGAGAGTTTGATTAAATCACTCCACTCCCTTCTTTGTGGCTGCCCTTGAATGTGGGTAGAACTACAACCATTTAATAGTACTAAAGCAGTGACAGCTTTACACAGGAAGGTAGCTGGACTGACTTGGCCAGGTCTTAGTGAATGGGAGATGCCTGTCATCTCTCCTACAGTTTTCCCTTTGTAAGGCTGGTAGACCCCAGTCATCCGCAGGGGGAGCCAAACCTGGGACTTCAGTGCATGACCTGCTTAGTTAGTAGCTAAGCCAGCTCGCTGGTAGCTAAGGCTGCAGAGCAGACTCATTGGTCCTGGTGCAACTAGGTGAGCAGTGCATCACATCCAGAGAAGTGTGGGTCACACCTCAAGGATGCCATTAATAGGGGGTTAGGAGTGGCTAACCAGTGTCTCTCAAGTGAGTTGCCACAAGATATCAGAGTATATTAGTGTTAGAGCTGAGTTGGTCCAATATCTATTTCATTTTCTTTCTTTTATCTAGGAATTACAGGCAGTCCCCGAGTTACGCGGATCCGACTTATGTCGGATCCGCAGTTACGAACGGGGTTCCTCTCCCTGGTCTCCAGCAGACCAGGGAGAGGAAGCAAAGCGGCGGAACACGTGGGCAGCGGACAGGGCTGTCCGCT